CCATAACCCTGAAGCTTCCAACTTAGGCTGTTTTTTTTCTATCTCCTTGCCTGTGAACATGCTCCTTCTCTTGTGAAGAGCTGTGGTCTATTGGCACACAAGGTTGCAAGAATTGTTCTTTCCTTTCATCATCCTCCTTTTTAGCCTTTTATCACTTTTCCTATTTCCATATTAGCTATGATTTGCTACCTCTGCTATAATTCACTCCTATTTGCATTGTTAATTCTTTAGGATTGTCTTTTATTTATACTTTCATACATTAACTCATCCTCAGCTCCTGATCAGGGCAGGACTAATTACGGAGAGATTCCTTCTACTGCCTTGATTGCTGATGATTATAATGCAGCAAGGAAAGCAGGACTGTTACAGCCACTGCTGAATGCTTTTTCTCACCATGGAGGATGTCCCAATCATCCCGCATAGGCGTCTATATTTAATTTCATGATGAATTCTCTGCTTTAGCTGTTTACGTGCTGGCAGCCTTGGGTAACAACTGCCTGAAATGGTCATTGTGACTGCCTTGTGTGAACAAGGCACACAAAGGAACACAAAGATGATCTCAAATTCAATAAYTGGATGTAAATCGATACATTTTTTTCACAAAAGAATTGACATTTTATCTATTTTCTAGTTCATAATCAAGGGGATTAAGATTTYCCCCCCCCTAAATCTTGGTATTCAACAGGCCTTGCTGAGAAGATAAAAACCCAAGAAGTATTCAGTGAAAGAGTTTCTCCATGAAGAGGCTATTCTGTTCCTGGAGAAGAAGCAGAGTAATTTCTGATTCAAGGCTCAGTAATGGGACAAAAAGTTTCTTTTTGTGCCATTTCATTCAAAATTCACTCTCAGCATCAGTAATGTTGCTCAATGAAGCTCACAGCCAGGTTTCCCAGCTCTCCCAAGGCTTTCCATACTGTTGTCCTGGCCACATTGCCTCTCCCTGCCTGTAAACACTTCCCAGACAGTTCAGAGCTACCATCTCCACCATCAAGCATGCAAGGCATGAGAGAGTTATCCTTGTCATTCTGCATGGCACGGGCCTCGACAGCTCCGTGACGATGTCAGTCAGCACCCGCAGAGTAAAACACAGTTTGGCCACACAGGAAACACTTTGTAGACAACACAGAACAGAGCAGAACTGCACTCACCAGCCCTTCCTTTCCCACCAGGCTGGCAGGGTGAGGATGTCCTAAAGTGCATGTGACTTGTTAAAATTCCCTTTGCTTCCCTGCTACAACGTCCAGCTCAAGAGATACAACAGAAGTCACAGCAGGAAGAGAATCAGACTGAGGGCTGATATACATATACCCACCAGGTTCATAATGTCCCCACTCTCCTTGGTTTATCAATTGGAAATTTTCTGTCTTTTAGAGTTGGTATTTCCTGTGCTTATTTTTGTGCATCTTGGAGATGAAGGGGTTGCTTGTGTTTGCATGAGGATAAGGGAAAGGGAGATCTATTTTTCTTTTGATTCAGAACTAAACAAAATAAAATAAATAGGAATCCTGACAGTTAACTACTGAAAAGCAAACTGTCTCCAAATGAGTTGAATGTGATGTGGAAATGACCGTTCACAAAAAAAACAGAACAATAAAAATGTTACATAGAGTTTATCACCTGTAAATCTCAGGGCTCTTTACCGCTCAGATAAATATCRCAAAATTCATTTTACAGATAACCGAACCCTACATCCGCACTGCACACATGACACTGCGCTGACGGGGTAAGAGACAAAGTACAGCAACACAAAACCCTCACCACCTCTCTTTCGCTCCATGCTGACTATATCCTTCACAACCTCACACTTCCATGCAGCACTGCTGCCCCTCTCTGCTCTTACAAACAAGAGAGTCAAACACATTAATGTATTTTTACACMTAGATGGAACTAAAAATACCCCAAAGTGGGATGACTCAGTTCTGTCCCCTTGAGTTGCTCGAAAGCAGTGGTGTTACCATCAGGTACGAGGTGACCCCAAGGCATCATCTGCTCCCAAGGCAGCTGTGGGTAATTTCAAAAGCAATCTGAGCTTATTGCATGCACATCATCCAAGCTAATGCACTTCAGCTTCACTACTGGATGTGATATGCGTGGTGATGACAAATTAAAAAACTCCAGCAGGCCTGAGAAATCACAGAACTAACACAAACAAGCGTTCGGCAATTGGCTGTGGCAAAGTGTTTGCAGTTTATGCTGCCTTTGCCAATGTTTTCTTTCCAGACAGGCCTACAAAGAGGAGTCAGATGCTTTGGCTAGGATGGAAGTAGAGGCAAACAGAGAACAACATTGCAACATGGAAACAAATTGTCATGATAAAAGCTGAACACAGACGGCTGCCTGGTGTGAATCGAGAACGCGATCCTCGGAACGGTTCTGCAGGCATAAGCAGATGGCATGTGAACAACCTTGCAAGGGGCTGCTCTTCTGCAGCAAGCCGTGAATACACAGCACTGAAGGATCAAGGTCTTGGTTAGTCCTATACAACACCTCAGGCATTYGGGTCAGGGGTGTTTATATCACTGAACTCACTTTCTCTTCCTTTCCTATTTTGAAAATCACTCTTTCAAAGCCTACGCCAAAAACAACAGTCTGGTTACACAAATCCTGACCAAGTTAACATATATCCATTGATATATATCCAAAAAAGGTGAGAGGACCTCTGAGAGAACATCGGCCCARCAAAGCCATCAAAGTGGCCAGAACTTCACCTACTTCTCAGCCTGCTTCAGAGCCCTTGTCAATTAAATCCAGGCAATAATAGCAGAAACCCCAAAGCTGCCATCAAAACTTACACAGTCATCAAATCAACTTTAGGAGAATCAAAATGGAAGGACAGCAGACACAAACCTGGAAAAGATCCCAAAGAGGAAAAGCAAAAACTTGTCATGCTGGGGAATTAAAGCGTAGTGACTCTCCTTCCTTCCATCCCTCCTTCCTTGTCTCTCTCTCTAATCCTGTTCTCTGGGGCCCTCAACTTCAGATGCAATAGTGGGGCAGCCGGCACATTTGTGAGAAGCTCCAGGAGTCAACTGAGTGCCTTTTCTTGAAAGGAAACTCATTTGAAGTAGAAAAAAAAAAAAGTTAGCTCCACCCTGGCAATGTAATAGGTCTCTGATCATACCTCCCTCTGCTATGAACCTGTTGTGAGTTGATGGCAGCGAGGTTCCTGTCCTCTGCTGCATCTCACAGGCTTCACAGGGAGAGAGAAGTTTCCAAGTCCACCTGCAAACAGGGTGGATTGTCAAGAGTCTCAGTTCAGGAGAAGCCTCCTCTAAGCTGAAAGCAGGATGACTGTCGCCCTCCTCCCAAAACCCCAGTGTCCTAAAGCAGCCTGGGAAGTTCTCCAGGGCATCGGGCACTGCAGGCCTGGAGTATAATTCTGAACAGCCTAGACATTGGTGAAAGAGACCCCAACAACTCCCTCGCTGACATCCAGGTTCAACACAAGTGCTCAAAAACACCAGTCCTGTGGCCTCTAGAAAGGAGTCTATCTTAGGAGACCATCTGCTACCACCAACCGAGCACAACCTGGCACCACCACAACAAGCTGAATCTTTTCAAAGCAGGTGCTCTCTGCCCATCCTTCCCCAACGCACATTTCCCATGAGGGTGGGAGAGAAAATGCTACAAGGTTGGGGATGTGGAGTCCTTTCTTCGGACAGTGGCAAGTAAACAAACTAAACACAGGTCCAGGACGCCAAGGWACTGGCTATTCCAAAAATCAAAGGTCAGAGTACAGCACTACTACTCATTGAAAATAGCCCTGCTTCTCTCCCTCTTTCTCTCTCTTTTTTTTTAATAGCATATTCAGTAAAACTTTTATCTCGTCCTGCACCAGTAACCTGCATAAATAATTTGCCATTAGCACGWCTCAACTGGGTGGCTTTTCAGCTGCACCAGTCATTTTATTTTCCATCAGTGAAATGACGGTGGCAATTAAAAAGCCCACGTAAATCTTTCTGCCCCTTCAAAGTGTCTCCCCAGTCTGTGCAACTGGAAGAACGTACAGATGAGAKGTTGGTTGCATTGTAATCACAATTTATAGAGTTTATTAAAAAGGAACTGATTACACCCAAGAGTTTAACTTCATTAGCATTCAATGTGATTGCATTCAACATAACCGAAGTCTCAAGCTTGAACGGCCAGGCTGGGTTTTTGAAGTCTCCACCTTCAAAAGGAAATGCAGCTCAGAGCAGTGAGYAATGGAGGAGGGATGGAGGCAGTTCATTTCGCTTTACCACCCAAATGAGCTTTCACACTTACCACAGTGCTAGCTAGAGAATACTACAAATAGTATCTGAAAATGATCTACCCAGTTAATGAGCTACAACATTCACTGAAAACTGAACTTCAGCCTGTCTTGTTGCATACTGCTGCAACCAAGAAACCCCTAAAATACATCAAAGAAAGTAGCAAGGGAAAGTATTTCCCTCCCTTTTTTCCAGTTTGTTTAGTGTGTATGTTCAATAACATTCTGACTGTAGCCATTTTTTGCAGKTTTTTTTTTCTGTCATTTTCCCCTCTTCTTTACGCTGCATGAAAAAACAATACTTTTTTGAAGTCAGGAAAATGCAGTTATGAAACCTTGCTCACTTGCAAAAGGTGTAGGACCTGCAAGTAATATAAACTCTTATTAACAATAAATTTAAAAAAGCCTTCTGGCTGGATTTCAAGTTGAACACGGGTCTTAAATCCGGTAGCAGGATGAGACACAATAGCTGAAACTGGGTAAAACAGCAGCAAAACAAACCTGCCAACAATCYCCAAGTGTTCTCCCCATTTTCTCTCTGCTCCTGAGCCCCTCAGCCAAGATGCTGAGTTCTGGGGCAGTGGGGACCCCGGTTCTTAGGGCACCCAGGTTCTTAGGGCACCCTCTTGCAGACACTGCCTTCGTGCACCCAAGGGTCTCACCACGACCGCTTCCCGACACCTCCAGCACCTCGCACCACTCCGTGGACCGCACCTCCCGTCTCGGTTCAGCCCAGCGCAGCTCCACTYACCCCGGTTCCGATCAGCTCAGGACAATTCAATCCGCTTCAGCGCTGTCCCGCTTTGCTCCATTCAGTTCAGCCCCGTCCCGCTTAGCTCAGCCCAGTTCCGTTTAGCTCGGCTCGGCTCAGTTAGGTTTGGTTCCGATTAGCCCAGCCCGGCTCAGCTCAGTTTGGTTCCGTTTAGCCCGGCCCGTCTCTGCTCGGTTCCCCGCAGCGCTGCCGCCCTCCTCGCCACCCACCACCCCCGGGGCTGCCCTCGCCGCCTCTTCCTCCTCCTCCTCCTCCTCCCCCTTCGCGCCACCTGGACCCGCGCCCGCTCCGCCCCCGGCCTCCCCACGGCCCGGTCCGCGCGTGGGGAGGGCTGCGGCCGCGCGGGGAGCATCGTGGCGAGGAGCCCCGTGTCCCCTGCCCGTGCTTGGCGCGGGGGAACGCCGTGGTTCGGTAGAGGAAACGGGAAAGGGAAAGCGAAAAGGAAAGGGGAAAAGGAAAATGAAAGGAAAAGGGTAAAGGAAAAAGGAAAAAAAGAAAAAAAAATGAAAAGGAAAGGAAAAATAAAAAGGGAGAAGAGAAGAGAAGAGAAGAGAAGAGAAGAGAAGAGAAGAGAAGAGAAGAGAAGAGAAGAGAAGAGAAGAGAAGAGAAGAGAAGAGAAGAGAANAGAGAAGAGAAGAGAAGAGAAGAGAAGAGAAGAGAAGAGAAGAGAAGAGAAGAGAAGAGAAGAGAAGAGAAGAGAAGAGAAGAGAAGAGAAGAGAGAAAAAGAAAAAGAAAAAGAAAAAAGAAAAGTGTGAGAAAAGAGCAGAATGGGAAAATAAATATCTGGGACAATCTGAGTTTGCTCAGGCTGCAGATCCATGTCCCTTTGGCTAGTTGAGGAGGCCGCCTTGGCAGAGGGGAAGTTAAGGGAATTGCATCTTTCTTCATTAATTTGTCCCATTGTATCATGTTCTTGGCCACTGAGTATTCAAAATGATCGTCTTTCATGTTAGCCCTGACTTGAACTAGTTTTTGTTTTTGTTTTTAATCCAAAACATGCTGTTTGGCATACACCTTTCAGGACTTGAGTGTGTGAAAAGTGGATTTTGCCCRGAACTTCCCCAGATCTGCTCCGTTGTTTCCACGACCTTCTCCCACGCTCCAAGATTGGATGGTGCTACATGGACAAGCAGGCTGGAGAAAGAAATAGTTTGAGAACCTGACAGATGAGTGATTAGAAGGGAAGGAAATGTGGAAGCCAATGGGTTTGGGAGTAGTCTAACAAGAACACTGGACATCAAGAATGATGTTCTGCAGAAGCATGGCCTGATGCTGGGAACAGCAGATGGCCTGTCAAGGGCAAGACAATATTGGGCTTTGCCATTGATAGCAGTCAAACAATGTGACATATGTTCAAGGAGACCCGCAGATGTCCGTCACACCTCTTACAACAGGAGAGACATACCTATAGGAGATGGTGTGCCTTCTTTGAGTGCTTTCTGTGGGTCCTACTCCTCTTAGGCAACTGCTGAAGTATCTTAGGTGCTGGTTCCCTAGAAAATCAATGGAGAAAGAATCTCAACAGTAGATTGTGCCACTTTGTTGGAGATCATTTTTACCTTTTCAGATGATGAACATGCTACCTACCAGACCTATGAAAAAAGAGATGCTTTTTTTTCTTTTGGAGATCATCAAAATTAATCATTTAGGAATTTTAGCAGCTCCAAGTGCTCACTTTGAGTAATCTCGGATGTTGGTTTGAAAACTGTTGTAGAAAGGCAAGATGTGATTGTTCTGTCTAGTTGCTGATTCCTAAAACATGAACTATTCAGTTATAGATGAGGAAGGGAGCTGCTTGGCTTTAGGAAATCAGGGAAGATGAACTGCTTTCAAGCAACATTTTTCTTCTATTTGCTGGAACAATTTGAGCCAAATGTAATACATATCCTTGCTATTAGCAGGAAAAGAAAAAAAAAAGGAAAACATTTTATGAGGAGCATGATTTTGCATTTTAATTGCTAACATGCCATTAAATTATGCATCTATCTTTCTTGTCTGCATCAGAGTTCATTTTATTGGAGGATGGAGGAAGGTGTTCATACTGCAAACAGATATAAAAATTCTTCAATATCAGCTGAAAGTGAGCAGCAGATAATTAAAATGTAACTCCAGAATTTGCCAGGATCTTTAAGGGAAATTGCTGACAAAATACCCCTCATTAAATTTGGAGCTCTATCGGTTGCTGCTGCTTTTGCTGCAATTTTCAAGAGTGTCCTGGCATTACAGAAATTCCCTTGCTTTCAGGGCAGAGCTGGCACATCAACTACAGGTATCTCCAGAAGAGGAAAAGCAAAAGGAGGCAACATGAGATGATGGAGATGTCACTGGACTAAGAGTAAGAGTGGCAGCAGATCTCTGATGACCAAGTGTTTGGAAAAAAAATCATCTTTCTTTTTAGTTGTATGATATAGTAATATGGTGAGTGGAAGACTGTGCTTAGACTGGATGCATGCAAGGCTGGAGCATTGGAGAAGCGCATTTCCAGCTGCAGTGTGGCCCCACAGTCTATTCCAGGATTTGTTTGGCTTTGCACTCATAAATGCACCAGCTGTCTGAGTAAGGGCAAGACTGCAAATCTGTAAAGACTCAGCAGGTCACCCCTGCCCCAAGAAATGCCCTTTCTGATGGTTTGTCTGATTTGTGCCCCCAGTCAAGTGACAGAGACTCCRAACCTGCCCCAGGCATTTCAGAGCTGCCCAATGAGGCTGGAAAACATTTATTTCATGTGCATGCTCAACCATCCTTGCTGTGATTTAAGCTCCGTTCTTCTCATCCTAACCACTGGGGAAATGAAGAACAGATTTTTCCTTTCTTTTTTTTTCACAGCAGCTTTTTGCATATTTAAAAATGACAGCTCCATAGCCTGGGAGACAGCTGCCATATTAATTATCCAGCTGACAAATAGCTTCCACTGGAACATGCATCAACTGCTGTGTGTTGTCATTATTATTGTCATTTAATTTGTCTTGTACAACTAATCAGGCATTGCCTTCTACAACAGAAGAGGCTACTCCTGTGGGTGTAGGTATCTGGAAACCAAAAGACCTTAAAGCTGCATCTTTCTGGTGGAAAATATCACCACAAGCCGCCGTGTTTTCTTTCCTGTATTTGAAAACCACCCACATTTTCAGTAAAAAAAAAAAAAAAAAAAAAAAAAAAAAAAAAAAAAAAAAAAAAAAAAAAAAAAAAAAAAAAAAAAAAATTAAACTGATTGAGTGTTTTGCCCAGGCAATGGGCTTCTTGAACAGTTTCATTCTCAAAATATTTTTCTCTGTTGTTTGGGGTTTTTTTGCAGATAGTTATTTACAAGTTCTTTGTTAATTTACAGAAATGAGCAAGGGGAGGAAATAACTAGAAGATACATTTAATAACTGCTAGGAAGACAGTCAAAAATTCTTTTTTGCTTTAAAATCATTGAGACTCGTGTAATGAGGTCCTGAGTTGAAGCACGCAGGGRAAAAAAAAAGGAAAAAGAGAAGACTAGATGATTTTTGATGTTAAAATAACATTGGAATTTTTTTTTTCTTTTTTTTTTTTAAATTTCTTTCTTTCATTCTTTCTTTTCTTCCTTAAAATTCTCTTCTTCTCAAAGCATACACTGCATGTCAGGATGATGCTTGTGCTTCAGTCTCTTCTCACAGTCGTAAGGAATAGGCTTGGAAGGAATCTGAGAGGTCACTTCATTCTTCACCTCTGAGGCAGGTCCAAGGCATCCAGGCTGGTCCTGTCAGATGTCCACCCATCCCATCACACATCTCCATTTCAGGAGYTCCTTGAGAAGAGGGCAGGAAATGCAGTGAGCAAATTGGACCCCTTGCAAAATGCTTCATGACGGTGCATGTTTCTGAGAGGCTCTGACAGAAACAGCAGGTAAGTGTGGGGGAATCCACAGGACATGGTTTGATTTTACTTCCTTTACATCATGGTGGAGATCTTGTGGCTGTAGCCATTGTATCACCATCCAAGAGTCGTTCATCTCCTGCAAACACTGCCCAAACCTGTGCCAAAAAAAGGAGTCCTGGCCCATAAAGTTTACTCAGCTGTGATTTTGCAAATCTTTTCCTCAGGACACCATTCAGTTTTCTTGAACTCAGCTCTTCAGTATCCATGTCAACATCCAYGAGCTGATGGTATTTGAAATAATGATAATTAAACAGATGCTAAGTATGCAATCTAGGGCCCATGAAGGCAARGCCTTCACTCACTCATTTCCATACTCTGCCCCCTCCTGTGTTTGTCCTGTTTCCTCATCCCACTTGCAGCTTCCTCACTTTGCTGGCTCAACCTCTCTTGTCCCTGTGCTCTAAACCAGAGCAGCAAAATGGTAAGCAGTTTGCCTAAAATGGAGATCTTGGAAAGCCAAAAGGTCTCTAAGCCTGCCCTGATTTTGTTGTTTCTCTGGATATTTGTCATTAACCACTTTTGGAGAAAAGCTGTCAGGTTCTGCRGTGGCTGGGCTCTTGGTGCACATTTTCTGCCCCACTTAGCTGCTTTATATCCTTAATTAATTTTGTGGGGAAGTCTGAAGAARAAAAAGAACAATGATCATATTGAACTCTTTTTGTCAATGCATTTATATATATCCTCTTTATTTACAGTCTTTCCAGTTAAAAGAGATTTTGGTTAAATTCAGTCTGGATTAGCTATGGAGGAGCCAGGGAAGTTCAGTTCTGAGCAGTGTTTCAATTGTGTCCACATTTACCTTTATAACTTGCACTRGTATTCATCACGGAAATGTACTCTAAGGACAAGATTCCTGGGAGATTGTTCAATCTCTGCTGCCCCCATGATAACAACACAGGGCTTTTTGCCTTGAGCATCACAATAGCTTTGGTTTTAGGTCTGGAAGTCCTAGTTTTGAGCCTTGATGATGACAACTTGCTCCATGATGTCCTCCCTTGGCTGATATCTAAACCAAATTATATATAATATATGCCAAGCTATATAAACATGCATAAACTGTTTAAGCTATAGCAGGACTGAAACATGAAATGAGCATCAGAGGTGGAAGGTGTTTATGA